ATGGATGTGTTTTATGCATTATTTTTGTGAGCTTTTAAAAAGCAATTTAAAAAAATTAGGTTTGAATTATTTTTGGATACATTGTCTTTTGGTACAAATGTCTTTTGTTTTTCCTCTTGTTTCAGGTACTGGACGAGGCTGACAGAATGTTGGATATGGGCTTTGAACCTCAAATCATGAAAATCATTCTGGATATTCGACCTGACAGACAAACTTTAATGACAAGGTGATTGTTTTTTTGTTTTTTGTTTTTTTTTATTCTGATATTTAATATTTTCAACAGTGACATTCATCAGATCAAAGTACATAACTTCCCAGATATTTCACGACCCTACGAATGGCAATTTAAGACGTTGCATTAGCCTTTAAATTAGGCTTGCTGTGATAGTTGGCATGCACAAATTTTTCTAGTTGTTGTTTTTCATTAAGAATAATAATGAACCCATCATTCAAGTAATTGCCTCCCTCGAATTGGTGCTGATTCACTGGCACGGAGCAGAGCAAGCGTTTTCAGTTCATTGCTATGGAAGTCGAGCTTCACGTTCGCACTCCATAGGAATTATTTGAAAATGCTCGCTCTGCTCCTCACCGTTATGAATACCCATGCAGCAATGCGAAATAGCAATTAGTGAGGTGCAAAAGAGGGAAAAACTTCAATGTCTGATGTTAGGGGTGTAACGATTCAATCATATCGCATATCGAATCATATCGCAAGTCACGATGCGATACGATTCACGAAACTGGATTCACAATACGATTTTCTCATGATTTTTTTTTAAAAGTAAGATTTAAGTAGTTGTGAGTGAAAAGGTGTCCCTTTTATTATTTCTCAGAAAAATAAATGCTGCGCATTTATTTTTAATTTTAAAATATATTTGACAAATAAAAAAACTACATTTTGTGCTCGCTGCTATTATGCCTGTAAAGTGAGGTTCACAACTTAAAACGCCCCTGCTGTTTAAAATGTGTAGGGAGATTCGTTTAACGCTTCAATCGTCACACATTTTTATCTGTTGCGTGTGAATCGTTACATCCCTATCTGGTGTTGATTAACCGGTGGGAAAATTTCCTCACTGTAACATCCCTACTTTAAATGTAGAATTGGGGCTAATTTTCGAAAGAGTTTGAATGCTTTATTATCATGAAGTTTGGGCATTTGGATGATTACTCTTTTGCTGCATTCATTTAAGGTACTTTTCTCTATTTCTATTACAGTGCCACCTGGCCAACAGGTGTCAGGCGGCTGGCCAAATCCTACCTGAAAGACCCCATGATGGTTTATGTGGGCACCTTAGATCTAGCAGTGAGTGAACAGTTAAAGTTATAATGGGTAATGCCCATATACCAGGTTAAATATAACTTTTCTGTTTGGCCTCCTTATTAAAAGTCCCTAGTTAATGTCCTTTCTGCATCTGTCTCCCTTAGGCGGTGAACACTGTACAGCAGACAGTTCTGTTCGTGCAGGAGGAAGAAAAAAAAGACTATGTTTTTGACTTCATCCACCGAATGGAGCCTAAAGACAAAGTACTGATATTTGTTGGGAAAAAAATAAAGTGAGTTTCTCGGAACGAAACTTAAATGAGAGTAACCCAGGTTCGATTCCAAGAAACAGGAAATGGGAGGAGTTTCTGCACGCACACTCAAGTTCTGCTGAAAAATGTTATTGCATAATATATCATTTGTATTATGATCACTCTTGATGTGACCATCAGTCAGTGCTCATCAGCTCATGTGTGCTTTAAATGTTTCTCTTTTCTAAAAATGAAACTTGGCATTTCTCCATCGTCAGAGGGAGTGGCCGTTTAGTATGCGGTTATACAATTCTTCCTTTCGCTTGCTTTAATAGCTATAGGTTTTGTTCTTCCACACCCCAGTACAGTGGGCAGCTTGAGGTAGATCATTTCAAACGTTGTGCGAATTAGAACCAAATACTCAATTTGAAACAGGTTCCTTCTAATGCTTTTACCATGACACTATAATTAAGTGCTTGCTTAATCTCATCCAGAACAGATCTGTTGTTGGATCCAGTGCTGCGTTGTAAATGGTGTTTTTATAGCAGCAAGGTTTCTTTTCTAGAGGTGGTATTGTTTATCCTCAAACCCTGAAAAAAAAAAACTGCCAGCTAAAAGTACAATCCTGACTACATTAAGACTTTACTTGCAACAAGGAGGAACAATTACCACAATTTGTTTTGTGTGGAGAATTAATGGCCTGCGAGAGTATGATCAATCAAAATTGTGTGCCAAGCTGTTGATTCCGAAGTAAAATCCTGATGCAAAACTATCCGAGAAATCCCGATTCTCACTCTGATTTTCTCTTTCCTGCTGCTGTGTAGAGCCGATGACCTCTCTAGTGACATGTGTCTGCAGGGTTTAACGGTTCAGTCTCTGCATGGAGACCGAGAGCAATGCGACAGAGAAGAGGCACTGCAGGACTTTAGAGATGGTATGTATATGTTGATAAGCAGTAAATAGAAAAGTAAAGAGTGTAATTTCTGTAATAGCACCAGAACTGTAAAAATGGCATTTTCTATGTTTAATCAAACATGTAGCCCCAAACTCTTGTCGTTGTTGTTGGCCCATCTACTCAAACTGACAGTTTGCAATTCTGGGGTGCATTTCCCGAAAGCATTGTTAGCCAACTATGGTCGCAATTTCCATTGAACTCTATTAGTAACGACCACTAGTCCACACAGAAAATTCATACCTTATTAAGGAAATTGATAACTTTCGCTGCAGTCAGTGATTGTACCTGGGCCTTAAAGATTTAAGCAAAATTGATCTCTGGAATTGCTATCTACCTGTGCATGGGCGATGTAAAAGGTCGTGTCCGGATTCTGGTGGCGACTGACCTGGCCTCCCGGGGGCTAGACGTTCATGACATCACACATGTTTTCAACTATGACTTCCCTCGGAATGTGGAGGAGTATGTGCACCGCATCGGGAGGACAGGTCGTGCAGGGTGAGTCAAACAAGGATGGGTGTGACTGAAATATTTTTGAAATTGTAATAAGAATGCAAGCGTTCAGGCTATGTATGTAAATGAGTCCATGTCATTACTTAGGAGGTCCGGTGCCTCTGTAACCCTGGTAACAAGAGATGACTGGAGAGTAGCTTCCGAGTTGATCACCATCCTGGAGAGGTCTGGTCAGGTAAAAACGCCTCTTTTCATTATGTTTATGACACTCTGCTATGTGAAGAACACAAATCAAATCAGAAGCTTCAGTTCGCACAGAAGATTGTGTTTGTAAGAATGTAAGCTGCACATTTATGGCATGAAGTAGGGTTGTACCGAAATGTCTGAGACCTTTTTAATTCACCTTTTATAGTCATTGGGACACATTCCTCTCTGTATGTAGACAAATATAAAAAATATTGTACTAGGAATGTACATTATATTATGATCATATCACTATAAAAGGGTCTTCAGAATCTGCCCAATAAGTGAAATGGTCCAGTATATTTAAGACAATAAATTATTTATTTATTTATTTTTACAAAGATTATAGTTTCAGGGATGTTTAGATGACTTTACAAAATGGGTAGTTTCAATCCTTGATTCTGATTGGTCAATAGCTGTGCTTTTATTCATGATAAAACACGGCTACGACGGCTTCACTCAACGGTTCTATATATCACTGTGTAACACTTCAGTTCATATGTTGTTTTTATTTGAGCTTTCATGCATATTACACATTGGAGCGATGTTGCTGTTCACAGTCAGGGACTTTTTTTTCTAGCAAAAGCAAGGCTTTTAGTGATTTTTACCTCATGATAGTTGCACTGCACTAATACATTTTTTATTATTTTTTTATTGTGCGGTAATTGTTTTATTTAAAAAAAAAAAAGGTATTCGAGGCAATTGCTGTATCATGCAGAACAACGACCTTCAGCCGTTACGTATTTATGATGCAGCACAGCCTCTCGTACCTTATTGCTTGCATAAGAGTTCGCAATCACTTTTCTTGAAAATATTTAGCTATTAGATCAATTTAAAGTCTTTGTATAAATATAACGATGATAATTTATCACTTTAAATACTTCAATATTTTATTAGAAGCATTATAAAGAATGGATCTCACAAGGGGATTGTTTAGGACTCCTTGCCATTAAAAAGTTTGAAGATCTAAAATCGATCTAAAAAGATTAGATCTAAAATCTTAAACCTTCATTGCAAGGTTTAAATTTGAAGATTTGTAACTCAAATGCTCAGTTGGGATGTTATTAAAATGCTCCCTGCATTAGCTAAAGGTTTTTGTTTTGGAAGACCACCTGATCAGGTGTTGATCTCTGTCGATTAAACAGTTTATCATCTAGCCAAAAGCCTCACCACAACCATCTGGTGGCTTTTACAAGTCAAGTTGTTGTGCGTATCGAAAGAGAATACCTTATTCCATGAGTTTATTTTTTATACTGTATCTGTACACAACATCCTAATGGAGAATCTGGATAAAGGGGAGTTTTTTTTTTTCCTTTCTTTAGGATGTTCCAGAAGAACTGGTACTGATGGCTGAACGTTTTGAAAAGCACCAGAAGGAGAAAGAAATGTTTCCGACCAGAGGCAGAGGAGGTGGTCAGAGAGGTCGTTTCAGAGGAGGCTCGGACCGGAGGTTCTGATCTCTTTAAAGGTAGGCGAATATATTTATCTTGCTTTCTTAATCACATCAACATAAAGTGCCAGTAGTAATATTGATCATTAATTCTGTCTTACAGGTTGATGCGACTGTACTCACTTAAGTTAATTCATATACTTTTAAACTGTTAATCCTCTCATTTGTAGAGAGGCTTGTGAAGTACTTGTAATTGACCATTTAAGTTTTGTTATGTTTAAAAAAAACACTGATACATTTTATATGCATGATGTAATTCTGTAATGGGATTTTTCTTTTCAGTTCAGTAACATTTATTGTCATCTACGTTGATGTGAGGTAAAATGCCCCTAACTTTAGATGACGTAAATGTCTTGTTCAGTTGAATGTGTATCAAATAAAAGCCTGTAAATCTATTTGAAAGATGTTTATTGAATTAAACTACAGATGACCATCAAGAGGAAAAAAAAACAAATCATAAAAAAGTGCAACTAAAAGAAAATCAGAATTAACTGAATATAGGAAAGTTATTATTGCGTTGAATATCAATTTCTTTGGCCAGGAAATCACAGCTACTCGGAGTGGCTTGATGTAGGAGGTTATGGGATGGAATGAAAAAGTTAGGGAGACGACGATTTCTTAGGTGTTTGACAAAGTCTTCCAAAAGCTGCTGGAAGCAGTCAGCCAGCTGACTATATGCCCACTCGCGGTCACTTCCCCTTTTAGCACAAGCGTGGAGCAGGGTGGTCTTTGCATGATAGGAGCAGAAGTTGGACATTTTATTGGATTTGGAGTCGTCTTCTTTGAGCTGTTGAAGAAGATACTTCAGAAGCTTTAGACACTCCTTCCTGTAGAAGTGGACAAAAGTTCAATTAATCAGTTCACGTTTAGTGCTTGAAGCCTGTTTGTTTATTTTTAATTTTCCTGGATTTACATTATTTTCATATAAGCAATGAATTATCAAAACGGATAATATATGCACCTAAACTAAATATGGTCGGTTATACGCAATTCAATTTCAAATACATCAAAGTATCGAAACCGAGAATAGTTACCGGCAACATTTCTCTCTAACGGTCTCGCAGCATGTCTTGGAGTTGCCGTGTCTTTGCAGAATTTCTTTTTCAACATGTGAAAAAGAGATTCGCCATGCATCTGAGTAGAAAATATTTTGTTTGGTTGCAGTAGCTTAGCTCATATACATATAAAACACAGTAAATTACAGCTAATAATAAATACCTTTTGCAACAACTCCATCATGCTCTGCATCTCCTTTTCCCACATATTTAGGCACCAGGTAGAATGGTTCACGCTTCATATCAGCTTTTTCCTTTTTACCAAGCCAGTTGTCTATTTTAAAGCCATCTTTTGTAAACTCTGGCCAGCTTGCACGGTGAACCTTCAGACCAAGAACGAAGTCAATGGAAATTTTCTTTCCGTTTTCTGTTACTTCCAGTGTCACTGCAGGGCACCTTGCCTTCTTTCGCTGTATCTCAATGTTGTCTATAGAATGCACAAAATATACATACGAAGATTACCAAAAAGCAATACAATGATTGTAGCCTTTTAGTTTATCATTCACCCAGTCTCCATTACATTTCTTTGTCACACAAGTGTGTGATCACCACATTTGAGTGATCGTTGCAAAACGTTAATATATTTATTCTGTTCATGTGTTTTTTTACACAGTAGTGCCCATCAGTTTGTACATTCCAATAAGAAAGTTTGTCCAAACTTTTTACTGGTACTATAATACACATACATATATTGTTACTGTATTATAATATAGCTGTATTATAATATATTTTTAATTCAATATTTTGTGATTCAACTTCAAGTGAAATTAGTTTCAAAGCGGGTTTAAGGCAATCAGTTTCCTGAAATGGTTGAAGTTGCCTTAACTTGTTGGGTTTAGCGTTTGTGTATAGGCACACCATGGTCTGAATACTTGATTCTGATTGGCTGGAAGGTGTGTGACAGATAATAAATAAATAAATAAATAAATAACAAATATTGATAAAATCTAGACTGTACCTTGTTTCTCCACAGCTTCCTTTACGGCATCTCTGAATTCACTCAGCATTTTGCTGGCCTGAATGGTCTTGTCTTCGTTTAGGAAGATGTCCAGAGGATGTCTACTTGGATGTCGTTTCAGTGCAACACTGTAAAATGCGCCAGCCTCATCGAACTGGTCTAAATCCACTCTCTCCACAGCAACAGTCAGCATAACATCAAATTCATCGGGTTCACAAATCTAAAATGGAAACAAAGTTAAAGCTGATGTTGGTTGTTTTGAACTAAAACTTATTGCCATGGATCCCATAGAAGTCTTATCATGGCCATATAATCTGTATTTCTAATTCTAATTAGGCTAATACAGGTATACCACCATCGGTCTTATTCAGATTTGTAGAAACAGGCTCTGTTATAAGCTAATAGAGTAATGCCTTTTACACACTTCCACATTCATTCCAAAAATAAATAACAGGCCAATTGATAGCTCTCCTAATCATAGGGTGCATATTTTACTCTGCAACACTTACTTTAAGATTTTCATAATAACTTCCCGTTCCTAAACGCTCGATATCTGTACACCAGGTGGTGTTTTGTTTAAGGTGTGCAATGACTTTATCCGTGATGTCATTAACACAACTGGATGCATTGGATCGCTCGAACTTCTTGATCTTTAACTTCTCAATAGTTGCTTTAAGAACCTTTCCCAGTGTGTCATCGACGCTTGGTTCTGTCGTTGCAGTTGTTTTTGTTGCGCTTTTCTTTTTGCGGTCAGAGCTGCGCGCGTCCTGTGTGAGGCTCGGGTCAGAAAAGTCTCTTTCAGCAGCCAATTCATGCCGCTTTCTTGGTTTTGCTACGGATTTTTCTTGTGATTTGCCTTCGGAGCTCTGCGGTTTTGGTGCCGTTTTTTCACCGGACTCGCTCTTGTCAGTCTGCTGAGGTTTGCTTTTTGCACTGTCTCGTCTGTCTTTCTCGCCAGCATTGTTTGCTTTATTAGGAACAGAGGATCTTCTATATACCGCTCTGGGGTTTTCTTCGGACTTGCTCTCAGAGATCTCCAGAAACTTTTTACTCTGTCGATTGATGCTTCCGGTGCCTCCACTAAATGCTTTGGTGTCGGGGTTTCACGAGGTTTGTCCTCACTTTCATAATCACGAGGATCTTTCTCCTTTTTACTCTGTCGCTTTTTGCCTTCCCTTTTTGATGCGCCCTCGTCCTTGGCGCGTTCCCGATATTTCTCCTCTCTGTCATTAGTTTGGTGATCTTTTTGCTCTTTACTCTTCTTCCCGTTCGCTTTTGCTGGAGCTTCGTGTTGATCAGACATTGTCGAGCGGACGCTGCTCTGTCTTCCCTGGCTGCCCATGACAGGTGTACTGAAGGCGACGCGCGCAGTTTTGCGTTAAAGGAAGGTTTCGGTGGCATAGAACTATGACGTCAGGATGCAGATGGTGCTATGCCAGTTTTTAAAAAACCGAAATATCTCACTTCCTCTGAGTTATTACCTATTTAGTTGTGTGACGTTATTTAGGCCATAGGCTATTATGGTTCACTTTCCGTCGTTGTTCGTGTTCAGTAGCCAAAATAGACCGGTACAAAAATGTAGACTATAGAACTTTGTCATAAGGACTGTTCTAAATAATCTGTGTTGACCAAAAACAGATTTCATATTTTTAAATGTTAGGCTGCCATTTAATGCCCTGTTTTGGTGGTCATTGCCCAGTTAGAATGATTGTTCAATAACGTAAGTGCACACAAAAAGTTCCAGTATGCCTATATGCTGTCACAGTAACTGACATTAAAATTGAAATTTAAGCCACCACAGTAATTTAGCTATGGTAAATTATTGTTAAATCGTGGATGGGCTATTTCTTATAGGCCCTACTGTAAATTAGTCCAGCTAGACTAATAAAATATTTAGTCTACTACTGACCTTAGTGCAAACCATTCCTGTGACTTGGTAATGAATAGCCTAATTTTTAACGGATCAGTTGCGACATCTTGTGGCAAGGATAGGACTCAAACAGAATAGGACTTCAAACTTACTAAAATACTTTATTGTTATTAAAAAAAAAACCCAATATGTTCCATTCTAATCTGTTCTTATAGCCAGTAAATTTTATGGACTTTATTTAGAGTCTAAACTCGCCATACATACTGGTAATTTCTAATTACAAAGGTAAATTATTAAACATTTCTATATAGCTTTTATGTAGTGTCCTGTTTGAGAGTGAAATGAACACAAACACCATTATCATGGTTAAGACATCTTTAATATGACATGAAAGCTTTTATTTATTATAAGGTGCAGTAGCTAATGCCAATTAAAGTCAACAAGTGCTTGTGCGGTGGTTAGCCTACGCCAGTCAAAGTGCTAAACATAAAGCTGTCAGTGCACCAAAGATTGGATGAGCCCAGACATGGGCTAATTAAGAGCTTCATTTTAGATTTTCATTGGTCTGCAAAGATAAACATACAGGTTCTCAAAGTCTACTAAATAGTGTTGTTTAAGTAGCTCATTACCAGTAGATACTGAACACATGGTATTTTGCAAACAAGCACTAAAACAAGCAAAGACAACATTGTGAGAACCAGGCTAAAACTGCACTCCAGAGAAGGAGAGGTCAGACCTCTCAAGATATTAAAAATCACATATGGTTTCAACAGCCATCATCGAAGAGAAGAACACTATCAAAACAAAAACAATGGTGGATTTAAGATTTACGAGTCGACGTACAAACTAGAGTTCTCTAAAGGACTGCTTTTGTTAATATTTTTTTCCTTCTGATACTTTTGCGATGCATTGGAACTATTAAGCAGTCTCTAACTATGGAACCTAGGCAGCCAATAGGATAGAAGAGCTGGATGACCTCTGCTTTTCCATATGTGTCTCTGGAGTTGGCAGTCAAACACAACATTCATTTGGCCTTCTGGGCTTTCTGAGCAGATTTGGTGATCTTTCCGCTGGTCGCGGCCTTCTTCTCCACTGCTTTAATCACACCCACTGCGACTGTCTGACGCATGTCACGCACAGCAAAACGACCTGCAAACCAAAAGGATGGTTGTGATCCAAGCAGGTCATATGTATACTATAATGGATCCTAAAAGGCCTTTTGGATGAGTTGTGCCATCAAGGCCATGACTTTAATAATAAGAGACAAAGGGTAGGTGTGTTGAATGCAAAGAAAATTAATCCTATCTATTTTCTTAAGTTATCTGATTTTAGTGCCTTCGCCACCTTCTTTCACATGGAACTCTTCTCTGGTTTACTATTTCTGTTGGGACAGACGTCCACAAGTGAAAACATGAATACACTGGAATCTCGCTTCATAGTAGAAGTGATGTACTACTACTGTCTAACAAACGCCGTTGTTCTACCATTGGTCCGTGGCGATTACGTAATAGGTTGGTGTGCGCTGAGGCTCCGCTTTCTTTCACGCTGAAATCTTTTCCAGTTCATTTCTCCTGTTGAGTCCGTCGAGGTCAGACGTCGGTTGGTGAAAACATGAACACACTGGAAAGCTGCTTAGTAGAAAATGAAGCCGTTCTTCTGATGAAACAAGACACTGACAATGTTTTTCATGTTTAATACGGTAAAGCTGCTTGCTTTTAGGCAATCTATTGTAATATATAAATAGACGTGTCGTGACTTTACTAGAGTCCCGAATTGAAGAGCTTGTGTAAACATACCCACACGTATTTTGCATTGTTCAAAATTATTTGTACTAGTGCAATGCCTGTACAAAATCAGTTTTTGTGTGCTTTTAGTAATTGATTTGATAATGTTTGAGTTGCGTGCACCAGAAAAAAATATTATAATCTGAGATAGTTCTATTCAGTTTTTAAACTATGTATAGTTTCATTTTAACAAATATATAATTACGTTGTAACAAATGTATGATAAAACTAACAAATGTGTAATTAAATTTTTACACTACTTTTTAAACAACAGATTGCCACTTTTTGAAAAAGAATCTCTACTTATTGAAAAACAATCACTACTTATTTCAAAATAAACGCTCATTTTTAAGAATCGTTATTTTTTAAAAATGAATTGCTACTTTTAAAAAAAGAATCGCTACATGTTCAAAAAGAATCACTACTTATTCAAAAAGAATTGCTACTATTTTTAAAAAAAGAATCACAACTTTTTTTTAAAAGAATCACTAGTTTTTGAAAAAGAATCGCTACTTTATAAGTAGCGTTCCTTTTTCAAAAAGAATAATGTAACAAATGTGTAACACTAGTAAATGTATAATAACACTAAAACATATAATTACATTTTTTACACTACTATTTAAAAAAATTGCTACTTATTGAAAAAGAATTGCAACTTTTTAAAAAGAATTGCTAATTTGTAAGAATTGCTACTTTTTCAAAAAGAATAATGCAACAAATGTGTAACTGTAATAAATGTATAACTACATTGTAATAAATGTATGACTTTAACAAATGTATAATTAGTTTTTACACTACTTTTTCAAAAAATTGCTACTTTGAAAAAAAAGAATGTAACAAAATGAGAATATAACGAATGTATAATAACACTGATTTTCCAAAAAGTATCACTACTTTTTTTCAAAAAGAATCACTACATTTTCAAAAAGAATTTGCTACTTTTATTAAAAACAATCACTGCTTTTTCAAAACGAATTGCTACTTTTGCAAATGCAGCAAAACATGCCAAATTAAGCAGACATAATTTTGTCATATGGAAAAAAAAATGATGGTTAAAAATAAGAGAACCAACGAAATATTAGTAACTGATGATGATGGCAATTCTGACCTTTTTGTTTTTCACAAAAAAGTGCCTTGTTTTGTCCGATAAATACTTTAACCAAGTTTAGTGTTTTCTTTCCTAATATATATATATATATATGTATGTGTATGTATGTGTGTATATATACATACATGTATGCATACATGTGTATATATGTTATACTATATATATATTACTTATTCTCATATTTTGTTGGTTTAATCAAACTTGTAGGGTCAATAAAAACAAATCTCTTCCAGATATCACTTTTGGCCACTACTGGATGTTTGGTGTGGTCAGTGATGCAAACAATGGTACTTTTTAAGAGCATGACTGATGAGCCCAAGTCATCACCAGTGCTGCATTTGTTTTTGTTTTTAGTTGCCTAAATATTTCATTATTACTGTAATTTCTTCAGTTAGAGCATAGATTTGTAGAATATGAGGAACTATTAAATTTCTTACTAGGTCAGATATAATACAATAAATAATATCTTTTTCAGAAAGTATGTGGTCTCCTTTGCTGCCATCTTGTTACTCCTAGGGTTGGGATACCACTCCAGCTGGAGCTGAGACCTAATCTTAACACACAGGAACCTTTCTGAGTCACACTTATTCATAAGTCTAGGAATAAGACTAAAATGCCATCATTCTTAGAATACGACCCCGAATCGGCCTCCATTCAATCTACAACCAATGGAGAGAATAGTCCCACCTTACATGTTTTTGTTTTTCAATTATGTTATTTGGATGTCACAATATGGATGAAATTACCTATCGCTACCAAAATGACAATGGACACTATTCACTTTATGGACAAAAAAACACTGGGACCTTGTTTTAAAATATCTTTTTTTGCAGAAGAAATATATTTATACTGGTTTGGATGTAAATAACGGAATGTGAAAATAAAACAAATTTATTTTCCTATGCATTTAACGTTTCAAAAAAGTCAAGCAATGATCAGTCATCAACCTATTATCATTAAATCAGCAATCAAACGTTTCTTAATTTTGGTTATTTGGTATAGAATTTAGATATCCATAAAAGAGGAATTACAAAATATCAAGAAATAAAATACAAAGAATTTAACTTCAGATACCTTAAAGGGGTTGTTGGATGTAAAATTCACTTTTGCATTTAAATGTGGACACAACCAACATAAAAAAAAAAAAAAAAATCGATTCATTTTTTTTTTATCCTCAAAAATAAATGGGTCGCTGTGAACAGCGCTGTTTTACAGGAGGTATGTATGTTACAAATTTTACATGATGACCCAATAGAATCATATACCAACTTGTGGAAACAAGCATCCAATGACCCCTTTAAATAAAAATGAGATGAATAATGAGCAATGAAGTATTATGCTCTTCAAGTAGAATGTTGGGATGGCACTTACCCAGAGGAGGATACTCTGAAAAGCTCTCCACACACATGGGCTTCCCAGGGATCATGTCAACAATGGCTGCGTCTCCTGACTTGAGGCTCTTGGGGTTGTCCTCAAGCTTCTTCCCAGAACGACGATCGATCTTCTCCTTCAGCTCTGCGAACTTACAGGCGATGTGCGCAGTGTGGCAATCCAGCACAGGGGCGTAGCCAGCACTGATCTGCCCTGGGTGATTCAAGATGATCACCTGATGGGAAACAATGAAGCTTGTAAT